GTAGTGCCACTAAGTTTAAACATGTGTTGCCAAAACTGACTAGTGAACACCTTATCCTTGTCAGAGACAATAGTTTTGGGAAATCCGCGTAGCTTTACTACATTCTTAACAAATATCTCATCCACTTGCTTACTAGTGTAGTTAGTCATCATAATAAAGAAGTGGGCATATTTGGATAGTCTATCGATCACCACAAGTATCACTGTGAACCCGTAACAGGGTAGAAGTCTTGTGATAAAATCCACTGCCAAATCATCCCAAATATGCATTGGAATAGGGAGAGGTTGTAATAAACCAGTTGGTAAAGTAGTCTCACTTTTGGCCTGTTGACAAACTAGACATTGTTGCACAAATTCTTTAACATCTTTCTGCATACCTTGCCAATAAAATTGAGCAGCAATTCTAGCCAATGTTCTAGTCACACCAGCATGTCCACCCAATAAGGATGTATGGAATTCATTTAAAATTTGCTTTACCAATTAATGATTGGGAGGGATCACCAACTTGCCTTTCCAGTACAACAAGTGATCCTGGACTGAATAATGAGGGTCTGGTGTTTTATTCTACAAGCATAATTTCATTGTAGAGTGTAAATGAGGGTCAGCTTGAATTGCCTCCTTCAATACATGGATAAATTACAATTTTGGTTCCGACCAAGCCATAAAAAAGGACCTTGAGAGTGAATCTACAGCCATATTTTCCTTGCCCGGTTTGTATTCGATAGAAAAATCATATCCTAACAACTTGTGCAACCATTTCTAATGTAAAAATTTTGGAGAAATCAGGGAGTGCCAACACTGGTGCTCTGGTAATTGCAGCTTTGAGATTTTCAAAAGCAATAGTGGTTTGTTCAGTCCAATAAAAATTATCTTTCTGCAATAGACTAGACAAAGGTGCAGCTATGGATGCATAGCCTTTAATAATTTTCTTGTAATAACCAGTGAGTCCCAAGAATCCTCTGAGCTGCTTTAGATTTGTAGGACAAGGCCAATTCAAAATAGCCTGTATTTTGCTTTGATCCATTGCTACTCCCTTCCTTGATACCGTATGACCCAAGTAATCAACTTCCTACAAACCAAAGGAACATTTAGATAGTTTAGCATACAAATGATGTTGTTGTAACACTTTAAGGACTGCCTCCAAGTGTTGCAAATGTGATGTCCATGTGGGACTGTATATTAGTATATCATCAAAAAAAACCAATACAAACTTTCTAAGATAACTTTGAAAAATGTCATTCATCAAGAACTGAAAAGTAGTAGGGGCGTTTGTAAGGCCAAATGGCATGACCAGCCACTCATAGTGGCCCTGGTGTGTTCGGAAAGCTGTTTTGTGTCGATCCTCTTCATTTACTAAAATATGATGATAGCCAGATCTTAAATCTAGCTTAGAAAAATAGTTAGCGACATGTAACTCATCAATTAACTTGTCAACAGTGGGAATAGGAAAACTATTTTTGACAGTAATGGCATTCAAGGCTCTATAATCAGTGCAAAATCTCCAGGTACCATCTTTCTTTTTGACAAGAATGATTGGAGAAGAAAATGGACTCGTGTTGAGAACAATGATGCCTTCCTTAAGCATGTCAGCTATCATCACTTCAATCTGATCCTTCCTGCTATGTGGATATCAATAAGGCATTACCTTCACTAGACTAACTCCCTCTAGCAGTGGAATTGAATGATTTTGAGATCTGTTTGGAGGCAGACCTGTAGGGACATCAAAAACTATTTTGTAAGTATAGAGTAGCATAGCAAGTTCTGGTTCCATATCAGAAGGCAAGTCTAAAAATTGATCAAGTGGCCCATCCAACGTAGAAAATTGCAATGTGAAAAGCTCATCAATTGCATGAGTACGCTGCATTCTCCTCATGTGATTAAATTGATCCTATTGTGGTAAAGCTGGCTTGTCTCCATAAAAAGTAATAAATTGGGTGCCCAAATAAAATTTCAACGTCATGCTACTGTAATCAGAAAGATGCGGACCCAATGTTGCTAACCAAGCTGCCCCTAGTACCAGATCAGCACCTGAGACAGGAAGTAAATAAATTGGCAGCTTAAGAGTATGGCCTTGAACGGTCACCTTTAAGTCACGGATCAGTCCCTCTGCTACTAATGAATTGCCATTAGCAACCAAAACCTGTAGGTTGGAAAATGGTTCTACTGGCAATTTCAACCCTTGAGGCTGAAGGAAGTTATCTGAACTTCCACTATCAAGTAGTATTTTCACTCGTACTCCATTAATTGACCCCCCTAGAATCTCATGGTACCTAAGCCTGAAGAGCCCTTTAATGCATTATAAGACAAATGATGGTCTTAAGGACCTGAATCCACTACTGCCTCTGGATCGTCTAGTGGTTTAGGTTGTAATTCAGGTTCATCATCCTCTTCGCATTGCAATACAAAATACTGTTTGTTCGGACATTTATGGTTGGGAGAAAATTTGTCATCACATGTGAAACAAAGACCTTTGTCCCTTCTTACTTGCATCTCAGCAGGGGTTAACTTTTTTATGTTGGTTGGCTTGTAATGAGGGGAGGGTAACAATGGGGGTAAGCTAGTGGATTTAAAGGATTGAGCTGTGGATTGGTTTGTGTTTATGGCTGGTGTTTTGGGAAAAAAACTGGAGGAATTTGGTCTTATTTTTGGAACATACTTCTCTTCATATAATTTGGCTAATGAAACAATTCTAAGGAGGGACGTGGGTGCTTGAGCAATAACATCCCTGCGAATGTCAGGTTTTAAACCTCCAACAAAACAATCCAATAGTGCTTCCTGAGTAATGCCCTGTACACGATTACCCAAAGCTGTAAATTGCACATAATAAGCCTGAACTTAGCTACTTTGTGTGAGTTTGAACAGCTGTGATCTTGGGCACTCATATGGAGAAGGGCCGAATTCCATTTCTAAAGCTCTTGTAGAAGCAGTCCAAGAGTGAAATGGATTGTCACGCATAATCATTTGATACCATGGAACAACATCTTTATCCAAATGGATCAAAGAAATCAGTAAATGTTGATCATCAGGGGTTTTATAATAGCTAAAAAACTGTTCAAACTTGAATATCCATTGCAGCACATCAAAACCATCGAATCTAGGAAAGTCGAGCTTAACGCTTCTAACCTGGAATGGTTGGGTCTGCACATTACTAGTTGAACCATTATCTGCACTTGGTTGTTGTTTGAGGACCAGTTCCAATGTTGTTTCTAACGTTTCAAAATGAGCAGAGTACTCCTTATCACGTGATTCCATGATCTCCAAAATGATAGAAAAGAATGGCACAATCCAAGAGGGGGGGGGTGAATTGGATTCTATAACCCTTTAAAAATTTATCAGAGTTTCTAGGATCTTTATTTCACTTAAAACTTTTCTATGACTGAATTTCCAAATGAAGCTTTTCTAAAGACTTGTTATGAAAATATGAATGCAATATGCCCACTTGATTACAACATAATGAGGTTCAACAACAATGTTCAATTACAGATTTAAACCATCAAGATTCACATACACTTGTTAATCAAGCTTTATCTTCTTTAATATTCAATTAAGCAATTACTTAAAGTAAGAGATAGGATAGAAGAAGATTGCACAAGTCTTTTATACTGGTTCAGCCACTCCACATGTGACCTACATCCAGTCCTTAATCAACACCTGATTAAGATTTGTTCCACTATCTTTAATCAAGAAGGTTTACAAGCAAACACACATGCATATACTTCTATACTAAAGATAACCACTTTCTTGACCCCAAGAAAGCACCCCTTGTAGAACCCACTACAAGAAACCTTATTACTTGAGAAACCCTTCTCAAGATTTTCCACAAAGATTCACAAAGAATAAAAGGAACGAATTCACCTGGAATTCTTGAACAAATCTTTATCTTCCCCTTTCAAGAATATGATGATGATGATCTTCTAACAAAGCTTTTCACAAACGTTTTCACTCTTGGATTTCACAAAGAAAACTCTCCAAGATGTCACAAAGACTCACAAAAACGTTTTTCACAAATTGATTATCAGTTCTAACTCATGTCTGAAGTTTCTCAAAGTTCAAACTATTTATAAAAGTTTCAGACACAGATAATCGATTATTTTAAAGAATAATCGATTATTTTGTTCTTCAGGTTTTCTGGAAATCAACCAAGAACAATATAATCGATTATTTTGCTGGATAATCGATTATTCCAGAGAGTTGTTCCTGGGATAATCGATTATTTTGGCAAATAATCGATTATTACAGCAAGGCATTCCACTTAGCCTATTTGCTGAAATAATCGATTATATTTAACAATAATCGATTATTTTGAGTTAGTTCTTAAAACTTCATTTTAAGACTCAAAATAACTTTCCAATGTTCTTAACTCATCATCATATACTCTCTACTTAGTTTAGATAAGATTTGATTATGCACAAAGCATACCAAGCACACAAAACTATAGAAACATATTCACAACAATTTATATCCTAAGTTCTATTACATAGCTCCAACTCATAGCATTTTCTTGACACTTCTTTGACTTTGTTTTTGTGCTCCAAGTTGTTGTTCTCATGTTGTGATCATCAAAACTCTTTTAAGCTCTCCCAAGCTCAACACAAAATCCTCTTGACATCCGCCGCAAGCTCTTTCATGCGTGTGTTTTCCGCCATGAAGTAATGAAAGCACCAATGTAAGGAAAAGCCAAAACAGAGCAATAGAGATAATAATGGAACAGTAGACATAATTAAGGGTATTGTAATTCCTCATCCATTATAGAAACTTCCAGTACAAAGTCATGATGAAATTGAAAGGAATAATGCAGTTTTGGAAATGTACCCAAAAACAAAAATGCAAAACAAAATGAAGCAGAAAGAAAAAAATGATAGAAGATCCTGAGAGAGAAAGGATCACAATTCAATTTTCTCCACACATTCTCTTTCCTCTAACCATCTCTTTTATATTATTCTTTGAGCCAATAGTAATCCTTGAGCTTGCTATTAATTGTTTTGGGTCTGGACCCCCATCTGACCTCAGCTTGTCTTTCCCGTGCTCCTTATTTCCTTCATTAACAATAGTCTCATTTACCGTCTCTTGCATTGTTACACCAAACTCACCGTCAAATCTCGTCACCCGATAAATCAAAATTCAGATAACCCGAAGGTTTTCATGGTTGCAAAATGGTTTAAAAAAACTAATGGCCGATTTTAGTCGGATTGGACATTTTTGGCTCGAATCCGACCGGAATCGACCAATGATCACCCCCACCACCATTTCTTATTGACCATGGAAGTTTTCTTTCACCGCAAAGGTTTCTTCTGAAGTTTATCTTTCTTTCACTCTCTCTAACGAAAAAATCAGAAAAGGAAAAAAATTGAGTAGGTATTGTCTCATCATTGCTCTTTCTTTAATCTACCAATGAATGCAAATTTTCTGAAATGTTGAACCTTCTTCAAAATTGGGGTATTTTTGGATTATTCAATTGCTATCTCAAATTGGTTATCTAGAATTCTAAAGTTTGGTTTGTGGTGCAGTTGTTGAAGAGATTGGAGATGACGAGCAGGTATTCCAATTGTGTATTGAATCATTTTATTTCTATTCTTAATTAAAATTGTGTTTCTCTTTTCTGATTGATTCTTATTTTTTTACATTTAAATATTTAATGCTTAAGTCTAAAATCACTTGCGTTGTCCAGTACTTATTGTCTGATGAAATGTCAAATTTGGTGTAATGGAAGCATGTTATTGTGTAATTACGATAAATACACACTACAAGAAAATATGGAGTTAGAGGAATTATTTTTGGTATTACCAATGGTTTAAACCCCAGGTAAATGCATTTCCGGCGATTGTTTTTTCTGTAGGGAAGGCATCCTTGGCTAGCAATATACAGACGTTTTAAGCCAATCCTAAAAAATGCAAGGCTTGCCTAAAGTTTTGAAACCCTTGTTAACGCCATATTCACGAATTGCAGTTTATGTAACTCTTGTATTTTACCTGCAACTTTCAACCCCGTACACACTATAAGCAAAACCTGTGTATTTTACTCACGACTTTAGACCCTCGCTAACACCATAATCAGTATCTATAGTTTATAAAATCCCTATACTTTTACGTACCCACAAATTTGAACCCCCATTAAGGTCATATTTAATACCAATTGTTTTTGTAATACATGTATTTAACCTACGACTTTAAACTCCCATTAATTAACGTAATATCTAATATGCCATATTTTAAAATCTTTATTTTAATTTACCTATTTAATTTTACCCGTGTTTAATATTTTAAAATTTCTATGTTTTTGCTTAAAAGTGTTCAAGTTAGATAAATATTCCAAAATAAAATTAAAAGAAACAAGCAACCCACAAATTTAATATATGAGTAAACAAGTCATCCAATAGAACCTCTAATAGAAGTAAAATCCAAAAAATAACCCTTAGTTAAGAAGGACATCCAAAAGAACTCCTGATTAAGATGTAACATCCATACTTTAGTAATATGTAAAAGAACATTTAAGATGTAGCATATCCAACTAAATATTAAATTTTCTAAAATAAAAGAGTTAGCATCTCTAGATATCAAATGTGTAGTCCTATTCTTTGTGCTGAAAATTTGTTAGGAGAATCATTCGGGTTTGTGCATTTCCTTAGTCAGACACTTCAAATATAATGTAAAATATTTTAGAAACAAAATTTATATTGTGAAATATTATTTTTTAAAAATTAGTTCAACTTTAAAACTTTGTCAATGCAACCTGAAATACATTCAAGTTAGGAAGTCATTGACCTTAATAATTTTGTGTAAAAAAAATCATCATAACTTTAAATCTTTTGTTTTGTTCATCTATTTTCTTATTTTGTTAAACCATTTATGATTTTAATTTAGTAATTTGTTTCAAAACACAAATTGAATAAAATCAATTCATGTAAATACATATAAATACTTCCATTAGATAAAAATCTTGAATAGCACAATTTCTATCTCTATGAAATTCACTAACCCTTAAATACCTCAATGTGTACTTCTCCATGCTAATATATCTGCAAGATACACTATATACAGTACCTCGTTTATTACCTTTGGAGGAGTGAAGTAGCATGCCCATAACAATATTAACAAGTTTACTAATTATTTGAAGTTAGTTATTCCATGTTCATAGCAATGAAAATACATCTCATGAGGAGGAAGAAATATCATAGGATTGGCACATTGTTAAGAAGACGAGAGAATTGGAAGCAACAATATATAAAAATATGATCTCTATTTTATGTAGACTCGTATATTAATGTTTGCATATTTGGTGAGTCGTAATTTAAAGACTATTATCATTGATTTAATATGAATGACCAATGTGCATTATAAAAAGGATGATGACATGCAAAGCTTAATTAAAAATTTTCTTTTTGAACTGCTTTTACTTTATTTCTTTGATTGATATCTTGTGCCAATGTAAACCACTTTTATTAGCCTTGTTTCCACTTGATTATTTTGTGTTATAGGTCTATTGTGTTTGCATTATTGAACCTTGTTTGTTGGACCACTCTGCATATCAAACTTGATGCTTTCTTGTAGCGAAACGTAAATCGTGAGAAAAGCTAACATGAATGTAATGTTGCAGGTTTTTTTTTAAAGAGTCAACATATCCTCATGAAAAGCAAAGGCAACAACTAAGCAAGCAATTTGGCCTTGCCCCAAGGCAACATCGAAGAACAACTGAACATGTGTATTGAAAATGCCATACTCAAAGCTGAGGTTTAATGTTTACGTTATTATTTTCCTTATTACCTTGATATATAAAGAAAAACTAATATTGAAGATTTATACTATTTAGACTATCTATCAACACGTGTAGGTAGAGAAGCTCCAAGTAGCTTCAGGGAAATACGCACCAAGAACAATGTCCCCTTCATGTTCTTCTGGCCATGACCAAGAGAATAAAAGCACTTTGGATTTTTACGCTGAAATTTTCGGACTTGATAAGTCAAAGATAATGGAAGTAGTAAACCAAGCAATGGAGGAGCTCAGTAAGATGGCTACCGTGAGGATACTGCAGTGGCTTCACAGCTTTGAGAATGGTCGTGAAATACTTGATTATGATGAAAATGTGAAGGAATTTGCTGTTGAAAATTAAAGTATTTGGTTGGGTTAGAAGTGAGGAAGAGGTGAAGAATTTGTAAGTTTATGTGAGAATGTTATGGTACAGGTAAGTGAGCATTGAGTAGATACATAAATTTCATAATTATGGATTTCGAAAGCTCATGCTTCATAATTATTGTTTGTCTCATAAAGATACGATATTCTTATAAGAATACATACGCATGACTATTTTATGACATTATTATTTTTGTCACTCTAGTTTCTCAAACTATGAAACATAATTTTTTAATCTTTATTTTTGTAATTTCAAAGAAAAAAAGGACTGTTAATTAGTAAAATTAAAACAACATTATTAAGTAACTTTAATGACTTTCTTAGACAACAATAATACTATTTTTTTATATAATTTTAAAGAATAAATAGTCAGTACTAATAATTTTAAGGTTTAGTTTAATATCCAAGTCATTATGTTAGAATATAATTAAAGTCTTATATCATTTAAATAAGAGGATATACATGAGTTTTTATACACATAAAGTTTCTATTAATAAGAGATTTTTTTGATGATGGTCAAAAGTAAAATTATTAGAGTTACGACCAAAAATAGACAATATCTTATCATTAGAAAGACTTGTGTGTATGGAAACTCCTAATGCATAACAAGTGATATTAGAGTTACTGATTTCGACTAGGTAACCAACTTGGTAAGTATGATGGTTGATAGGTAAATTTAGATATAAGATCATTTGTGTTGAAAGTTTTCATAATGATGGGTTCATATATGAAATAAGAGAGTCTTCCTGATAATATGCAGGATTAGGAAACATATCCCACTATCGTGAGTTAACGATAGAGCGTTTATACAAATACTTAAAGTGTGACTGAATTCTATGAGTCACCATTATGAACTAATAACTTTTGTTGCAATAGGGTTAAACCATGGTACTGTGTTTGAGGGATGAATTGTTATGATATAATTAAAATATCATATCATTTAAATAAGATGATGAACATGAATTTATATATACACAATTTTTTATCTTTTGAGTAATCATCAAAAATAAAATCACGAGAGTTTAAGTTCAAAATAGATGATATTTAACTAAAGACATTTGTTTGAGAACTCCTAAATTTACAACATAACTCCCATCCACAACACATTAAAATTTAGATAGATGAGTGTTTCTTTTATTTTACTTTTATAAATTCCTTATTTTGCCCTTTTTGCAAGATAAGATGTTTAAATCATTTTTTTTTCTCTCGTATATAACCATATATCAGCCGTGAAGAGTAAGGCAGCATTCAACCATAATCATGTTTGCTTTCTAAAGATCAATTTTCCTTCGCGATAAATGGGATTTTAACGGCGTTTATAAAGGTGAATAAAACGTTGACAAAATAAGTGAAAAACTTTTTTTAGTGGCCATTGAAATTGCCTCGGGAATTGCCGCTAGAAATACTTAGTTTTTCCGGCAATAAAAAGAAGTTTTACCAACAGTCCCTAAACACTTTTACTGACTCCAGAAACACCGACTTTACTTTAATTTCCTGTGAATATTAGTTATTTTTATTGTCATTAAAGAATAAATAAATTTCATTAAAAATTACTTTTAGTGTAGTGAAATTTAACACTTTTGAACCAAATTAATTCGTTCGATTCAATTTAATTTATATGTTTTATAATCCAAATTAATAAAATTTGAGTTTTTTTATTTAGGTATTAATTGTGAAATTTAGAACTCAATGACTAATTGTACAAACCTTCCTCACACCCCCATTCTCTCTATCTTTTGCTTACATGATATAACATTTTTTCATATAGAATGGCTCTGTACACACATTATATTACTGTTATTTTCATGAGCAAATAAAACATCATTTTGGTTAAAAGGGATACTATAATCTAAAATAATGTAATTTTTTATTTATAAAAAACATATGTTTAAAGTCGATATAAAAATAAAACTTATTCATTTTCACTTATTTAGTTTAGTTTGAATTTATATATGAAAAAGTTAAATATATTTTTTCTTATGTAAAATATCATTTTTTTTTACAATTTTTCTTAATTTACATTATAGGGACCAAATTGAGACAAAAAATAAAAGTGAGACTAAATTGAAACAAACAATTATTATAAGGGACTAAAATAGGTTTCTAGCCTAATTTATAATATTTATCTATGTGTAACTATTAGAGACATGAAGTACCTCGGTCCCTCTAACATAAATATATATATATATATATATATATATATATATATAATAAATTTTTATTTCAAGATTTGTGTCAATTAAAATGATATACAAGAGGAATATATTGAGTATTTCATTTGTCTTATAATATAATAATAAATGTTCATTTTAAATTTTTTTCCACAAGTTTGATAAATAAATAGTAATTTTTATAAAAATTAATTATATTCTTCTTCTTTATTATTATTATTAGATATAAATAAATAGTAATAAATTAATCCAACGACTTTCAAACTAATATTATTATTATTAGATATAAATAAAAAAAATAAGTAATTAATACTATATTTTCAAATTAAAATACATTTATTTTAAAATTTATTTTTTAAAATAATATTTATTATGAGAAGAAAAAAGTATAAAAAAATGAATAAGTATGATAAATTTGATAATTTTAACAAAGAAATGTTAACACTTTCTTTTTAATACCATAGATAATACCCAAAAGGTCTCTACACCAAAATCCATTATTTGTTTTAATAGATTTTGAGTAGAAAAATAATGAGAGAAGTTTGAAAAACTAATTTTTTTTTTTAGTTGCTTGGAAGTAGCAGTGTTTATGAATCAAATTTTTTTAAAAAATTAAACTATATTAAACCAATTTATTTTATAAAAGTGGGTTGATTAATCAAACTTTTTTTTAAAAATGGATTTTTAAAAAAACAAATATGGATCATATATTTTTAAATTGGATTGATTTGTTACAATGTAGTTATCCAACTTATATATGAATATATTTTTTCAAGCAATTGATCCAAATAAAATTAATCCTCTCTTAAGTAACTTAATTGGTTTTTCAAAGAGAATTGGTTTGATTTTTTTTCTCTAAACAAATCGGATTTCTTAATCCAGATTTGAATTATTTACACACCAATATTTGAAAGATGAGAAGTGAGAGAAGAAAAAAAATGATAGAAGGCTATAGTAAAAATACAAATAAAACTTCAAAGATAGAGAGATTTTGTAAAAATGTTTAGAAAAGTTGTGGGATCCATTAAAAATGTATTTTTTTATTTACTTCTCTCTTACTTCTTTTAATCCAAATATCTTAAAAATATATTTATTTTTTTGTCCATCTTTTCTTCAATTTTATTTCTTGCTATCCTACATTTTTCTTTCATACTTCTTTCTTTATCAAACAAAGCATAAGAGAATCTATGAAAAATGAAAGATAAGTGATTGATATAATTAATGATTTATGTGACAATAAAAGAGTAATAAACACAAATTAAAGGTGTTGGTGGAGTGTTGTATTTATTTGAGTGTAAAAAAAAAATTCACCATTATTGGAATGTTTGTTTTTCTCACTATAGAAATGTAGGGTGTTGAACTTCTCTTACATAATTTACTCCTGTTGGTGAAAGATTTTGCTAAATAATGTATGTGTTTTTCTTGATATATATATTTGCTAATTTTTATTTGTTATCTATTTCTTGAAATTTCTGTTTTTGTTTTCCTTAACCTTTGTCTTCCTATTTTTGTTTGTTTTATTGTTTTCATTTGATGGTTGTTCTTCCCGGAAAGAAACTCTTTCTGTTTCTTGAAATTTTTTCACGTGTTTGTAACTTTTTAATTTTAAATTAATATAAAATTATATATATAATCTAAATGAAGGAAACTTTTAATCTAATAATAAGATTTAAGAAAACATCAACCAATTAAAAATTATTGAATTATATAATAATTGATAAAAAAAATTATATCATATAATTTCATCCCTCGCCTCTATCTTCTATATATGATCACACACATTTGTATTTTTGAGATTTGTAAATGACAAGATTGTTTTTTTTTTCAAGGCATGACAAGATTGTTTTAATTTCACATAAAATACGTAAATATTAATTATAAACAAATTACACAAATAATTAACATTAAAATTTTGAAAGTTACAAAGATATGATTTTTAAGTAATTTGTATATCTTTAGTACAAAATACAAGTATTTTCTTCCTTATTACAGAGGAAATAACATCGTAGAGTAAAAACATAATGAATGATTAAAATTTTCTCAAAGTATTTAACTTAATTGCATATAAAGAACTCAAATTTGAGATCAATAATTAAGTTAAAATTATTTTTTTATCAATTGATTTAGGAGTTTAAGTGGGCCAAAATTGATTCAATAACATGATTAACTCATTCTAACCCTACTACATTTAAGCAATTTAGGTTGCATCATAAAGTTGAGTTGAACATTTTTTTGTTGAACTAGTTATAATCGAGTTGGGTAATTTGTTCTTGATTTTTTTTTAAACTTTTTCAATAGTTTCCTAAACTATAAAAATTTATATTTAAATCTTTAATCTTTTCAAACTATTGTAATTGGGTCTTTGTAATTTGTAACATCCAGTTTTTCAAAAATATAAATAAAATAAAGATGTTAAATAATATTTATAATACATGCTTAATTAATTAATTTATTTATTTGAGCTTATAATATAAATAAGGATATTTTTATTAAAATTTTAAAATAAAGAGTTTAAGAGGTAGCTTAGAGAAGATTCTTTGGGTTTAGACTCTTAAGTCCAACCGAGAGTCTTATTAAAAAAACAAGTAAAAGAGGGATTAAGTCAAATAATGTGTCAATTTTCTAAAACTCTAAGAGTGTCTGTAGAGAACCCGTCATAGGGGAGACAATAATGAAAATGGTACATTACAATCCAATCGATCTAACTGACACGTTAGAGGACACATCATAAAGGAAACCTAAGAGGAGAACCCTAAGGAGTTTGTGGAGTAGTATCAAACAATAAAGAATGTGCTCGTTGCCATGGAGATCGTCATCTAAGGTAAATAAATAAATAAAAAAAAAAAGAGTGAAAATATCTTATTATGGGCACATATAAGGGGTACGGGTATTAAGATGATCCCTAAGCCTCTTTAAGATTTATAACTGAATGTGTTT